AGGCTGAGTGAAAAGCACTCACCTCATATTTCTCCTTTAATAAAATGCGCGTACCCTCAAAACAGGGGGTTTGAGGGTAAGCGGGTTCTCTCTCTCTCTATATACATTTGTATTCATATGTAGAAATTACCTATCTATACTTTCAAACACACATCATAATATACTACAGTACACCTTATATACTGTATGTTTTTATAGTAGCCTTCTACACAGACCACCTGTGAGAATGCGCAACCCACATCTAACGCTAAACTTAAAGGGTTAGTAAACCGTCCGGTGTTTTTGCATATATCTATTCCTAGCAAGCAGTAGATATATGCAAAAAGTGTAAAAAAAAGAAAAAAAAGCGGTTTAAACTTACCTGTGTCTTCACCGCACGCTCCCGTCCAAAAATGTGAAAATTCTTGGGTGGCCGCAAAGCATCTTGGGGCGGGCGCATGCACAGTTCACATTTTCGTCCGGGAGACGAGGAGAGACACAAGGTAACTATATGGACGTGTGCACTCTCATGCAGACACCGTGGGACAGGAAGTGCCAGCAAGGACAGAGGAGTCAGCGATGGATCGGAGACCCGCAGCAGCGCTGGAAGGACAGATGAAAACGACAGAAAAGAAGATCGGATTAAGAAACATCATTTAAGGTAAGTGCTTTCATTAACATTTGGGGGAGGGAAAATATATTTTACTTTAATGTCACTTTAAGTCTTACAGTCCTCACAATGTTGTTTATATATAGTTTACAGTACAAATGTTCTATTCTTGAGCTTGTCATTTATGGAGTTTGTGCTACAGGGATGACTCATTAGATTAGGCTTTATTGATTACAAAATGAACCAGTGCTCTTCCCAGAAATCAGAGACATAGACAGCAGAAATTGTATCCTTGCAGAGCACGTGGTAAATGAACAGACCACATTGGGTCATAATAGTAAACACAGAAGCATACAAAAAATTGTCTGTATGTCAAACTGATATAACATCTCCTTATTGGCCTGGAGTAACAGTACTCAAGTATAAATAATTGTTTCTTTTCTACCCACATTGCTTCAGTAATGAAACCAGTTACTAGCATGTTTGCTATAGAGCAGTGGTAGCCAAACTCCGGCCCTTCAGCTGTGGTGAAACTACAAATCCCATGATGCATCTCTCTCTGGGAGTCATACCGGTGGCTGTGAGAATCTTGCAATGCCTCATGGGATTTGTAGTTCCACCACAGCTGGAGGGCCGGAGTTTGGCTACCCCTGCTATAGAGCCACAGTAAGATGCATGCGTTCTCTATAGCAATGATGATAAAGTGTTATCATTTATGTATACACATTTTGTTTTGCCTGATGAAGGAGCTGGATGCGTTCCGAAATGTTGCTACACTTTACACATGGAATAAAAATAACTTTGCCTGGAGAACCTTTCGTGCCATCTGCTGTCATTTCAGCACCCCTCCATGGGAAGTTGGGGCATTTTTGGTCAGATGGTGCGGTGGGATCCCTTACATGACTGTACACTCTGCACAGTACATAAACTGTGATGTCAAGTACATTGTGGTCATATCCTGTGCTGGAACAGTACTTTGACTGTATGGTTGATTCACTAAATAAGTATAGGCTGGTAACTTATCAAAGGGAATTTTTAGTTTTCAAGGGGATTTTCACTTAGCTTTTTTTCCTTCTCATTGCGCATGAGTGGACATAATTTGCAAAGAGAATTTTCACCACATTCACTAACAGGGTTATTCACAAAAGTGTGAAGAGTTTGGAGAAGAAAGGAGAAGTGAACAGTCTAGGCCAAAATAGGTGATTTGGAAACATTCTCTAATTCAGCTTACTTTCCAGTTCAGCTATGTTGTCCTAGATTGTTCACTTCTCCTGCCTTCTCCAAACTCTTCACCCTTTTGTGAATAACTCTGTAAGCAAATTAAAATGGAAAAGTGAAAATTCACTTTGCAAAGTGGACATGCTGTAATCAATACCTGTGTGGCACAAGAATGAAAGTGGGATTCAATAAAAGTCAATTAAAACGAGTGCACTAAAAGCAACACATGCTTACTTTTTCTTAGCAGTACTAAGGCTTAATGTTTATCACTCTTGTCTTGTAGCACTGTGCATCTGGGTTTATATCTCTACAGGGATTCTATCTCTATGGAGTTTGTGTTTCCCCATGTGCACTTATGTTTTTTTTCTACACAATCCAAAACATACACAGTTTGTGTATTGTCCATGTGTTTTTATGGTTTTCCATCTACAATCCGAAACGTACTAAAGCGTTTCATACAAATTGGCCCTAGTCTATATGTATACTGGCCTTGTAGCACTGTGCCCCTGGGGTAATTTCTCTTCCGGGACTATATATCTATGGAGTTTGTGTTTCCTCCATGTGCTTTTATGGTCTTTTGATACACAATCCAAAACATACTAAAGGTTCTCACACAAAATAGCCCCAGTCTATACGTCTACAAGACTGTAGTAGAGACTTTAAATTATAGCCTATTTAAGGGACAGGAATTGATGCAAATTGTTTATGTACTCTGTAAACAGAATGCTTTAAAAATAAGTTTGAGTTTCATCCCTATAGCAAATACTTTAAAAGCCAATTTAATGGAACCATTGTTATAGTAGCACTGTTCTTGAAAATAAATAATCTGTTTTGCAGCTAAAAATGTTTTATGTACTTACTGTAACATTATGCATAGTTACCTACTGAAGAAGCTTTGCAGATTCTTGGCAGTGATAACCGTAACCAGTATGAATGGGACTTGCTCTAAACCTTGTAGAAAAAGACTACTGAGTGATCCTATTATTATATGCTTTAAGTATTATTTCTTATTATTATTTGGAGCTAATTGAATATGTTTGGTAGTATGAAAATGGATCACAAAATCGGTGTTATACATATTTACATGCAAAGGCTTACTTAAAAAGCTGTACTAGGATGATGTGAACAGAGCAGTTACCCATGGTAGCCAACTAGGTTTTAGTTGTTGAAGTCAGATCAGTGAGGGACAAACCCAAGCACCGTAATATAACACTAGGAACTTATGATTATTTGTTGCCGCCAAATACTGTTTACATACACATGTTGGCTTACATGGGCATATGAAATGTAGACTGTGTAACTTTAGGGAATTTTAGGCCCTGTAAGTGTTTTAATATAAAAAAAAGCTGGACTTAATGTTTCCATTGGTCTTCTGTATAAAAATAACTAGGCCAACATCTAATATTTGACAGCACTTTAAATATCTAAAAAAAATGCTATAATGGGATAAGTAGCATTTTTAAAGGTATAAAGTAGGGATGTTCAGATACCAAGTACCGTACTCTGTACAAGTGCATGTACAGATACTTTTCAGCTCCAAGACTAGACTAAAGAAAAACTCAAAAGTTAGGAGGCAGATGTCATTTTTAAGGAGCATACGGAGCTCCTGTGATTTGTGCATTCCTATTTTAATGTATGATTTGTTTTTAATAAATAAGAGATGCACCGATACCATCTTTTCAAGTACAAGAACTGATACTTGCCCAAGTACTCACAGATACAAGTACTGATACATTTTTCTTTATTGTCATGTGACAGTTTTTTTAAAACAATACAGACTAACGATTTCAGGACAGAGGTGGGGCACCACAGTCAGGTCACAGCTGCAACCGCAGCAACCCTGGTAGTTCTCATGAAAATGCCAAGTATCGGCAATGGTATCTGAACTAGTATCTGAACATCCCTAGTATGAAGGATATAAATGTACGATCTGCCATTGGCGATTTTGTGCTTAAGTGTTATCAGGCCGCCTGGGTTTATCACTAATCTGGAACTAGCATGTCATCTGAAAAGTCTGCACTTTGTCTTCCATGCTTGTTCCAGGTCAGTGCTTCAATAAGTAGTAAATCCAGGAACAGGATGACAACCCTGGAACCTGCACCAAATCATTAAAACCAAATCAGCAATGGTAGCTCTGGCAGTTATTCCATTATCCCTAATTAAAATAATGATGCACAATTAAATCAGTAAGCCACAAGTTTTTGCTTGCAGCGTTTGAAAATATGCATTGCTATAGATCTAAAAGGCAAAATGTGCTTATAAACTTCTGAAAGATATGAAATATATGAACAGATCTGTGTGGGCAAAAAAAATATTAAAACATGCATTTAACCAGAAATCATAGAACCAATGATTCTTTAACTACAATCTCTCCCAAATCAAGAATGAACCAAAATCACAAGGCAAAGAACAGTAAACAGATGATGTGGATAACATGAGATTCTCCTATGACCTAGAGAAGGCTGAGATGTAACACGTGCCCATGAGTTTACAGCAGCCTGCTCTACGCTTTATGCTTGATAAATGTTGTTGCTATTTTAAACTGCAGAAGACAAATGAATGGCTTTTGCACTGTGCCGTTCCGATGTTATAATCCTTACAAACTCCTGAAATATTACAAGATCCCCTGATAACGTTTCCAGATCACAGCACTGCTTGTGGGGCTCACAATGGGCAGTAAAAGGGCAGGCAAGTCAAGGTTATAAGGACTGTCAATGGATAGGACGTTAGCATTTCGATGAAACAACTCTCATTTAGAATAATCACTCATTTCTAAAAAGGAAACAAAGCAGATCAATACTGAACCTAAACGTTTCAGTTGATTTTAAACCTCTTTAAATAATGCATAGGCAAAGGACACATTATACAAGGATGCTACAAGATCAGTGTTGTCTCAGCAATATGTCACACAGACTAATACAATTTCTGCTCCCATATATAAACTATTAGCAAAGTTGCAGTCATGATGATCACAAACAATCCTACAGTGCTTGGATTGAATCCAGGAAAACTGCTCCACCATACAGCATGGTAAGATCCTGCCCAGGGCCCCAGTTCACATCACTTCTCTCATTTTATCCTGTGAAAGTTGCCAGTGAATGATCTCCGAATCAAGTAATGAACTAATTAACGGGTCTTTTTTTTTTAACCTGTTGAATCATTCTTTATACAGAAAAGGAAAGCCTAGTCTTACCTGCATATGTCCTTGGTACATTGTGCTTGGAGAATTCCCGGAGATTGATCAGTGACTATAGGAAGCTGTCAGTGATCGATGAGTCGGGCGCTGGGTGTAGAGCAGCACCGGGAGCTGTCCGGTCCCTGGAGGTGCTGAAACAGAGGACAGCTCGCAGTGCACAGGCACACACAACACGGATCACCGATGCCTGGAACTCTGAACGTCTGCAAAGAAACTCTCCTTTCCTATGGAACTCTTTCCTCGCTTTCTGCTGGCCTCGTTCATCTCTTTCAGACTCATGGACCCTCCCCTGAGATCACAGCAGCGCCTCCTCTTTCTTCTTACTCTCTACTTAATGCAAGACTACTGACAGCTGGCAGCGTGACACAGAAATACTACATAGGACTCAGTGAAAGGATCACTGTGCTATACTCTCCCCCCCCCACCTTCCCTTCCCTCCATCATGACATCAGCAGAACCTCCCCTCAGCTATCCCTCCCTCTGGCACAGTCAGTCAAGGTTCTGCTAAAATAAAAACTCCCTTGTCACCTTCTTAAAGTGCAAACAGTCATTTTCCATTCTAAGGACTGCTGCAGAAGTTGCAGAGACATGATAAAAATAATAGAGTGTGCAAGCAATCGGTTTCTGCTCTTATGTTTTTTTTTTTTCTTTCTTTCCTCATTATAATATCCCATAATAATGTGTGTATAGAGGAGCTATATAAGATATTGAGGTCAAAAAGCACTTAAGTCTCGCTGCGCTGGCCGCGCCGGCGTCCTTGGCTCGATACAGACGTTCTAATTGTTGTACCGGTCCATTTTCTAATGCACCATTACGCTGGGATCAAGCAATTGTCTGGATGTGATTGCTGAATGGTCATTTTAAATATTAGAAGAGGCAGACTTGGGCGGTCTGGTGAAAGCATTGCTGCAGTTTTGTCAGCTGCCTTAATGATAATATCAGGTCTGACTGGAGGTATCATTATAATCTGCTGTCTGGAAAGGCGCATCCAAATTTAGAAACCGAGGTAGTCCTACAGTATCAATGTACAATTTCAAGAAGAATGACATAAGAATGAATTTAAATGTCAATTTCTTTGCATTGCGGGGGAGTATTTGTAAATATTGAGTTTTCAGGTCAAGTGTGCAAACATTTATTATTATTATTATTATTATTATTATTATTATTATATTTAGGATTTATATAGCGCCAACAGTTTGAGCAGCACTTTACAGTATAAGGAAGACATTATAATCGCAATACAATTCAAGACAAGATGGTAAGGAGGGCCCTGCCCCTGAGGGCTTACAATCTGAAAGAGAGGGGAGACAAGATGGTAAATAGATGGCATTTATTTTTATGCTACAATAATATGGGGGGAACTTATCAAAACTGGAGCAGACAGAATTTGAAGTAGTTGCCCATTGTAACCAATCAGCTTCTATCTTTCATTTTCAAAGCTTAAAGTAGTAGTAAATGCTCAATCTTTGTTTCAATGATGAACCCAGATGAAACAAATATGCATTGCCCAACAGAGTATTTCTCTACATTTTTGCCCAAAAACTTACAGTCATCATGTTTCCAAACAGCCGTCTCCAACTCTCTCTGCTCCCCTTCTGTGAACGTCCTGTCCAGTAAAAGATCACAAGCCTGCAGTAACTATCCATCTACTAGTTTGGAGAAGGAAGGAGGGAGGAAGGAGGGGGCAGGGAGTGTCTTGTCTTGCTGTGTCTGCGTGTTTGTGGAGACACACACAGGTTACTATTACACAAAAGGGTGGCTCCATAGAACCTTGCAGGGAAAGGGAGCCACCCTAAAACAGGATATCAGGGCCAGTGGTCAGGGGACCAACTGATTCTGCAGTAAACTAAAACTTTTAAACATCAATGAGCAGCATCCATTGTAAGTGATTCCATCAGCATTTAAAAAAGCTTAAATACTTTAATATCACTTTAACTGAACAAACTGAAGAGAGAAGTTGATTGGTTACTATGGGCAGCGGCTCCCGATTCTGTCTGCTCCAGTTATGATAAATTCCCCATGGTGTATATCCCCTTTGAAGCTGAACTCTGAGATAGGCAAATATTATCTACATACAAGAGTTATGTGTATTCTTATTCAATCCTAGTGTGCTTTGTGCATTTTTTTAGGCCTCATCAGAAGTCCAGAGTGAAAGTTTGCATCCTGTAATAAAGACCAGTCACTGCTCTCGCTCCTTGTGCAGCTTGACTGGTCTTGTCTTCATCCCCTCCTGTATCAGCCTGTAGTAGGAGGGGCCTGCTGAGTCCCTCCCACAGCTCTGCTCTCTGCATAGATTACAAACAGCACAGTGATGATGTCACTGCTATTTTTACAAGATAATATCTGAGTTTGCAAAGACATCCGAAGTGCTTCCAAAGTGGATTATATCCTTTGTGGAAATTGAGAAATATATATCAATGAACATTTTTGAACCCGGAGTTCAGGTTTATGTCAATAATTAAAAAGGAACTCCATGCAAACAAAAAATGCACCCTTGCTACCTCCAAACTGCAATGGTTACTTGCTCTTTTTTTCTAGGAGACTCAAAGCTGTTTAAGTAACCTGAATCTGGCTCCCGTGGTGCTCAGCACTCACCTCTCTCCCCCTCCGCTCTTAGTGTCGGGTTGTCCTTTGATGTCCTCATAGCTAATGCAAGTCAATGGACCTGCATAAGACATGATGATGTCAGCAAACCTTAGACCGCCAGAGTGAAGGGGAGAAGAGGCTGCAGGGACCAGTCTAGCAGCCTGGAGAGAGCTGACGGGACTCAGGATCTGTCATGCAAAACAGCTTTAATAGTGTTCCTGGGATAAATTGAGCACTTAACCCTTGCAGTGCTGAGGTAGCCCCACTGCAGTGGTAAGTTTTTTGTTTGCTGGAGTTCTCCTTTAAGGTTTAGAGTCTCCATATAATTGATCATGGTATTTGAAAAGCTGATGTGATATTCTTGAACAGGGCATTATGCTGTGCTTTGAATGTCATGTACAAAGAGCTATCTTAGGAAGAGATAGGAATTTTATGGCATGTCACGTTGTGCAACTAAAGATCCTAGTATAGTCTTTGTATATTGAGGGATATAAGGGCATGTACTTTCCCAGCAGCTGGACAGAAAGGTTTCTTAAGCTAGATTTAGGCTTAGTTTTGCTTTTCTCTAATCATGTTTTAAAGGGACATTAAAGTCACAACCCCCCGTGCTGTTGTAAGGTCTTACCCTAAATGATGTCTCTTCATCTGAATAATGGTGAATTAATCTTTCAATTATAAGGAGCAAATACATTGTTAAAGTATAATTATTATATTCTGCAGCATTAACTGATATTTTAAATCACAGGACTTTACAATGGTGTGGCCTTGGGCATGGTGAACAAATACATGTTATTAACTGAATGCTTTCCAAGCTCATTCCCCTCTACCTGATACTCAATTTCTGTTCTTTATAATGAGTTAAATACACAGTTAGAAAAGACCAAGGATTTAGACACAAAATAAATCAATGAGATCAATGCTTATGCTACACAATCTCATTCTGGAATAGTACTGCCTTAGGCACCTATCCTGGCCAGTTGATCTGCTCTTGCATTACTTGCTTGCATATTTGGGGTCAACCACCTCCACCTTTTTTAATACTAACAAAGCACACCAGACACATGGGCCAGCTTACCCACACAAAAATGGGCACCCCAGCATTGTATTCTATGCTTAATTCTTTAAAAAATTTGGAACAGTCCAGTATGGTAATTGCTATGATTAAATAAAATGATCAGTGCTACAAGAATCTCTGTGAGATTCCTTGTACCTGAAGGCTGCACAAAGAAGATATAGGAGAGCTTTTTTCCCTTTATTTGACTCGCTATATGGGATGATTTATGAATTAATATTGGTACCCAGATATAAATTAATATTGGTACACAAATATAAATTAATGACTACCGCCACCATCTCTTCTGGTGGAGGAAGTAACAAAAAAAAAGAAGAAGCGTATAAATGGATGAGAATACACCTTTGGCTGCCTCATTTCCTTTAGCCTAGGAAGGGATTTAAGTATTGGTGCTGAAAACTATCTTTGATGTTGATGTTCCCATAAACTGTGTTTGTTGACAAGAAAACTATTATTCATAGAGAGGACCTTTGACAAGTAGTCAATACCCCCTTTGATTACTCCATATTTTTCCACTTTATAGTGAGGAAGACTTTATGCCAAGTTTCCTTTCAAAGCCCAATACCAGCCAAAACATGTTTGTTCATTTTGAATAGAATGGTGAAGATTAAAGCAGAACTCCAGCCAAAAATAACAAGATAAAAATGAATAGCCTGTTAAAAGCTAAAATAACAAAACCAGCTACTGCAGCAATAATCACCTTCAATCCAGAGATTGTCAACCTTATAGGCAGCATCATTCAACCCACTTCCTCTGAGCCCAAGTCGTCCTGAACTCGCCGATGCCTGTGACTAGACACTGAAAGGAGAAGCAGCGTAGTGATAAACTCATCTCTCATCAGCGTTTTCTTCCCATAAACATGCTTCTTGTCAGCACACGTCTTTGTGACACCAGTACAAGAAATGAGGAGAACAGAGAAAAACAGTACAAGAAGGCTCATAAAGCAATGAAAAGCTCACCAGGGTTCCAACTCTTTTACTTTACTAAAACAAGATGTTTTGCTGTGGTCTCTGCCCCATCTTCATTAGAGACAGTCATATATAGTAAATATAGGGAAATCTACAATAAGGTCCAGGTTCTAGCTTTTCCTCACCAATCTACAAAACGTTTTGGCTGGATTAGTGCTTTGCTGCTTTATATTCTTCTCTGTATGCACCCATCGTGACTGGTAGCTTCCACAGACATCATATATTCAACTAAGACTGATGATTTTAGGAACAGTTTAAGACCAGATAACACAAAACAATGTAACACATGAATGGTACCCCAATGCACCTTTCCAACACACAACATGGACCTGTATTTTCGCAAAACCACAAGGGCTGCCTTACCATTATTCACTTTAATGTGTGTGCAGTAATGCATAATGCGTAGCAGAAG